GCCGTGTTATATTTCAATTAGTAAGATAAAATTTTAATGTTATTACTTCATAAAGACACTTTTCATTAAACATCTTGCTTTTATAGAATTTAAAAATGTAGATCCCAAATTTTAATTATGAAAAAAAATTTATATATGTTCATATACACCCCAGTAATTTATGTCATAATTGCATATCGATAACCCAATTTATCAAATCACCTGAATATCGTAACTTGCAACGACCAATCAAAAACGTTAAAATATACAGCTTTTTGTTTAAATTTCTCAGTCATTATGTCATAATTGCACATTATAGCTTAATAATTCAGTAATTATGTCATAATTGCATAGCAATAACCCAATTTATCAAATCACCTGAATATCGTATCTCGTAATGACCAATCAATCATAATTACCGAATTATTCTGACCAATCAAACCGTTAAAATACACAGCTTTTCTCGCTTAAATCATATAGATCAAAATGCACAGACCCAAAATTCCTATACTCTGATCACAGTTTTTGGATATGGCCAATTAAAAACGTTAAAGTGCACAGTTCCAAAATTAAATTAGATCACTGAGAATTCTCACGCTCAGGTCACGCTTCTCAGCTACGTCCAATCAAAAACGTTAAATCACACAAATTTAGAATTCTCACGCTCGGATCACGCTTCTCAGCTACGTCCAATCAAAAACGTTAAAACGCACAAACTCAGAATTAAATATATAGATAGATAGATAGATAGATAGATAGATTAAATGTCGCGGATGATGCTGAAAATCACGTGATCACATGATGATCTTCTGCATAAACACCTAGCATTACTATCGCCGCTGGTGTTAGAGTTAGGGTTAGGATGTGGAAGGTTTTTTTTTTCATTTTACATATATTACATCTAATTCCACTAGGATAATTAAAATGAGTGCTGCAAAGCTAAAACCAGCATTTGTGAATTTTCCGAAATCAATTTTATAGAAACGACTTATCAGACACATGATCCATTAAATAGAATTTATTATAGAACTTATTATAATTCATCAGGAATCTGATCATTGTTTCTGAAAAGCGGAGCCGGCAAAAACCAAAATTGCAGGTTTTAGCTTTGCAACACTCAAATATGGTTACACCCAAACCCTAACCCTAACATTAACAGTGAAATTTTTTAGTTGGTGATACTAGGGTTCTATATGGAAGTTCATCATGTGATCACGTGATTTTCAGCATCATCCTTTTTAATTTTTAGTTAAAGAACTTTTTATAGTATAGCACAATGCAAAATATCGGATTTGAACATAGTTATTCTCAAATAACAAAGATATTTGTAGAACTCTAACTAGAAATGAAATATAAATATCGTTTTTTAACTTTTATATATTGAGAACCTAATAAAGTTCGTGTAAACAATAAATATACACTTAGGTCATTAAATTTTTTTTATACACTCACGGACTAAATAAATGTGAATAAATAATATATTTTGACGATTAATAAATATTCTTTATACTTGTGAACTACATTAATATGAATAAATTTCATATAATTTAAGCGATATAACATTTTCCCTAAAAAATTTTAAAATGGAAAATTAAAATTTATTAATTGGAATTTATTAATGGCAATTAATATAAATATACATATATATATATATATTTATTCAATCTCTTTTGCACTATGTTCTCAAAATTAAACTTTAAATTCTTCGCTTTTATTTTGATAAAGTATACCTATTTAATTAACTTCAATTCCTTATAATAATACTGTAATAACAAGAAATGCAAAGCTACCGCTGCAATAAATATGTTATAATTAATATAAATAGAAATGATTGTATAATGACATCTTACAGTATTTACACCAGTCTGATAAGTTTAAGTTTGTGGATTTGCTCCATAAAACGCCTAATAATTATAATTATCAACTCATGAAAATCCCTTTCCATTGGTTAAATCACTTTTCTTTTTTATTACCCGAAAATGCAGAATATCTCGAGCTTGCTCCTGCTTAGGTGCTTTCTGAGATTGTACAACATTAATAATCAAGGTTGGACTAGGTCCGGTTTGTTGGGATTGTTGAGGTTTCTGATGGGATTGATCCTTAACTTGTTGATAATTTTTTTTAAAATGTTCATTCTGTTCACGTTTATGATTTTGATTATTATTTTTAGTAATTGGTTCAGGTGGTGTATGCTTATTCTTTGAATTATTGAAAAATGGTTGTTGGGATTGCTGAAATTGTTGATTAGGTTGAGATTTTTGATATGATTGATTAATATTTTGTTCTGATTTTGCGCGCTTATTTTTAAGCGAGTGAGATTGATTCTGATGATTTCTTGGTGTACTTCTTGAATAATTTTGCTCCAGTTGATCATACTGCGAGTATTTTATGGAATATGGTTGTTGAGACTGTTGATAATATCGAGATCCCTGAGGTGATTGATGAATGTATTTATAATATAAAATATCATTATTAATGCTTGATTCCAAAGGTTTACTCTTATTCCAGGATGAATAAGAATGATCCTGATAATTATCTTGATAATTTCTGTTCATACTTTTTTTAAAGTTTTGCACCTGTGGTTGGTCAGAGGGTAGTTGTTGGGATTGATGTTGAGATTGTGGGAATTGATTATTAGGTTGCGATTGATTATTGCTTTGCGGACATTCACTCTTAAAATGCCCTGTCTGACCACATTTACAACAACGAATCTCATTTTTAATACTTGGTTCAGGACTCGTACGTATATTTCTGGATGAATGAGGTGATGGTTGATCAGGGTGTAAATACTTTGAGGAGTATAATTGATGAGATTGTTTACGATCTACTTGTCTTTCATTATCAAAAATTGGTTCAGGAGTTGTGCACCTACTCCTAGGTGATCGTTGTTTACCACCTTCGTAGTTATTGTTATCACTTTTGGCATGTGAACTATAATTATGAATGTATGAAAGGAATTCTGAGTGTGCTTTAGAGTTTGACATTTTCGCCGGCGATGTATTTTTTTTTTTATTACAATATATTTTTTGCTCATAAAGTATATCCGTTAAATTGGTGCATCCCCGAGTACAAATCGTTAAGGGATCCACAACTTAGTAAATTATAGCAATAAACGATTAAATAACCATTTATTGAATTTTTTATTTCTTTTCAAATGTGAAAAGGTTATAAGAATCTTACTAATTTCGTAATATCAAATTATTAAGTTTTATACAAATCTAATATTGATGTTCACGTTCATACTATGAATAAAGTAACAAATGTAACGGTATTGCATATAGCAGTATAAAATAAGTTATTATATATAGGATTTAAAAAGACATACATATAATATAATATACATATAATAACATATCAGTAGGCTACACTATCTGCAGATAATTTAAAATTAGGGTTAAAACTATACTTCAGGATTAAGGTCAAGGTGTATCAAGTGTTAAAGGGTCTGATCAACCTGATTATACTAATCACTTTGCTAATATATATGTATACATTAAACATTCTACATCACTCCTATCACTTCATTATTATATGCGTACACACAACGGTCTGTGATCTCCGAACAAATAAAATCTACGCATAAAAATTCAATTAAACCAATACCGCAAAATTTTAGTATATTAAAAGTTGGTTAAATATTTGTTTTTAATTTAGGCAAGGTTATGTGTATAAATTAATTCCGAGTGCACCGGTGTAACCAAGGTAACTACTCATATATAATTCCTAAAATGTAGACTGTCCTATCTAAAAAATTTCGTATTACTACTATCTAGTCAAATCGAATTTCAAGATCAAGTGTAACACTAATATTGGTAACACTAAGTCACTACCTATATGCAGTAATACTTTTGTTTTTAATCTCATTTGTTTTCTTTATAATCGAACATTCGATAATTAAATATGCATAACAAACATTTCGAATGTATCAATCAAATTACAAAAGAAATCCCGTACTGATTAATAGTAAACTATCGTCCATAAATTAATTTACTTTCTAATTGTAACTCATAATTTATTGAAAATAACAAGTAATATGCAAAGTTTCTTGCAGTCGGAAAATGTGTACGAGGTTGTTGACGTAATTCTTCTGATCTACGAATCAGCTTTCAAGATTAGGTGTAACGTAACACAATCAAGAAGATTCAAAACAAACGTTCGTTCTGCCAAAAATCGCTCATAACTCAAAAATCAGAATAAGAAACCACCTTTTGTGCTCTAACAAAAAGTTTTCGTTGGTCAATTTTACTATTATAATTACTCCCTCTAGTTCTTAACCCTGACACCAACCCTAACCTTAACGAATTTTAAGAATTTGTCTGCGTCACCAACCTGGTAACATTTTCCAATTGCAAGTTTCTTTCTGCTTGTGATTGCTACACCATGTGCTCGAAAATTGTGATAAGCCCCTAAAATAAATTGAATACGGTTAATAAGTTCAGGTGGGGTACATTTGATGTTCGTACAAATGGCAAGTTTAGGAGTTTCAGTATTGCAGTACAAATCGAGCATTCTTTGCAAAAAAAGAGCGTTTTGGTTTTTGTTCTTTTAGTTAGTGAAATAATTTAGAAAATTTGATACTGTGACCAAAAATATGACAAGCATCTCACAAGAATGGCTTGAAAAAGCCATTTCTGAAGGACATCTTAATATAATTGATTTTCATAAGCTTGAATATCGTTCAAAAATCGGAGATGGAGGTTTTGGAACGGTTTCTGAATATAAATGGAAAGAATGTGAATTAATAATCGCTCTTAAATGTCTTAAAGTAAATGGAAATTTAAATAAAGATTTTATTAAAGAATTTATTAAGGAGGTATAGTTTATTTTGTAAAACATATTTATGGTGAATATATATATTACCATAGTCATTAAATCCTTGTATTTTATTTAATAAAAGCTTAAGCTATTGCGAAGTGTCTGTTCACATCCAAATATTATTAAATTCTATGGTGTTACGAAAGGTATAAATTTTTTTAACTTGCAAATATTGTCTTGTTTTTATAATAAATTTGGTTTATTCATAATCTTATTATAACAGATAACAATGGATATTATAACATGGTTCTGCAATTTGCCGCTGATGGAAATCTACGGCAATTTTTAGGATCCAATTTTAAAAAATTACAATGGACAAACAAATTAAAAATTGCACAAGATATAGTGTTTGGTCTCATGTTCTTACATTGTAATAACATTGTTCATCGCGACCTTGTAAGTATTATTTATTTTCATTTATCAATATTCAGATATATGTAATTATCACATTAGATTCAAAAGAATTTCTTTTAAAATCATTCACATTATTCTAATTTCCGCTATACATATTATTATAAATATTTGCTATGCTGTGTTCAAATAATCTCATTTCATTCTATATTGTTTCATTCAATATTATTACATAGCATTCAAAAAATATTTTAATTCATAATGGACAAATTATGATTGCAGATTTTGGTTTAGCAAAGCAGATTGATGAAACATCAATAAATTCAGTCTCAACAATTACC